CATGCGGAAGCTTGACAAACACGCGGCGAGGGCGACAGCAAGAGTCGAACTGCAACTGGAGTCGAACGGGAGGCGCCGGACTCAAAAGACACCGCCACATTCCTGAGACGCGCGAGGGCAGCCTCCTTAAAGGCAATGGGGTCTAGATTTGGAGCGCTCGCCGAAGAGGAGTACGACAAAATAGCGCCCGTGATTGCATGCACGCTGCCCCGGCACTCACGGACTCCATACCCGAAATAAGAAAGAGAGGGGGCAGACCCGAGGCGTGAGAGGGCAGACCCGGGGCGAGAGGGGGCAGACCCGAGGCGTGAAGTGTTGTTGGACCTTGGTGCGTGCTGGCTCGTGTGGAAGCTCTACGTGTGAATCGGGTGCATGCGTACTTTCTTTCGTCTCGCTTTCTTCGTTTTTTCAGTCGTTTTTTTCTTTCTTTCGATGGCGCCCCTTAACTTTCATTTCTCTTGGCCATTCGTGCTATAAATGCTACAAATATCTTGGATAAGTCTAGCCGCCCAGCGATGCAAGTGCCCTACTGCCCCCATAAGCCGTAGTCCAAGCCAGCCATGAGATGGCACGGCTCAGATGTGACGATGAAAGCTTGCAGGCGAGACGAGGACTCATTCATGAAGCTGAACTCGCGACCCGCCACTGCTCCTGAGTGCCTGCTTGGCTGCCTCGCCGATGGGGTTGAAGCGCAGGTCGAGCTCAGCCACCGTCGTGTTGACCCTGAGGCTCTCGCCGAGGGCGGCCGCGCCCGCGTCCCCGATGTTGTTGTTGAAGAGCAAGAGCCTCTCCATCACGGTGGTGGTCTTCACGGCCTCTGCGAGGGCGGCCGCGCCCGCGTCCCCGATGTTGTTGTTGAAGAGCGTGAGGTTCTCCAACACGGTGTTGGTCTTCACGGCCTCCGCGAGGGCGGCCGCGCCCGCGTCGCCGATCCGATTGTTGTAGAGAATCAGCTGCTTCAGCGCGTTGTTGGACTTGAGCCCCTCGGCGATGGCGATGGCGCCAGGGTCGCCGATGCGGTTGGTGCCGAGGGCAAGGGTCTGCAGCCCTGTGTTCGCCTTGAGCCCCTCGCCGACTGCTGCCGCGCCTGCCTCGCCGATCTGGTTGCTGCCGAGGTTGAGAATCCGCAGGGCCTTGTTGGCTTTCAGGGCCTCGCCGATAGCAGCCGCGCCCGCGTCGCCGATCCGGTTGCCGTAGAGGCTGAGCGTCTTCAGCCTCGCGCTGTGCCGCACAAAGAGAGCCGCAGCCGCAGCGTCCTGGTCATTCAGGTCATTCAGGCTCTCGAAGCAATCCAGCGTCACGGCGCGGCACGCCGCCGCGCAGGTCTTGCCCGCCTTGCGGCACAGCGCCCGCACGGCCAGGTGCTCCTCGCGCAGCCGCAGCCTTCCGACTTCACATCGATGTGGATAACAAGCACGGTCGATCCGTCAAAGCGATACACTCGTTCCTATCACGCTGGAAGGCTTGCATGGAGCTCTGCGCCGGCACACAGAAGAGCCGTGCGGCAAGAGAAGAGCTCTCGATGGGGAGCGAGAACCGTCAGATTTTCAGGTGTAACCTGAAGTCCGTCGCGATGCACTCAATCCCTCCCGAGCGAAAGCCTGTGGCTCTCTCGAACTCGTCGATATATTGCGGATAAACTGCTCTTCCCGCATAGCTTGCAGAGTCACAGGCGCAGAAAGGCTGCGAGTGCTCGACGAGTCTTGCGAGCTGCGCGGTCAAACCTGGGGGGAACTGACCGCATCAAGGCGGACTTCCGAAACCTGGGTGAGCACCTCTGACGGTTCTCGCTCCCCATCGAGCTCTTCTTGCCGCACGGCTCTTGCTGTGTGCCGGCACAGAGCTCCGTGCCAGCCTTCCAGCGTGATAGGAACGAGTGTATCGCTTCGACGGATCGACCGTGCTTGTTATCAAGACCGATGTGACGCACACAGTGACACATCAGACGACACATATTCTCCCACCCGCCGGGACGCAAAACGCTCTCGACGAGAGCCAGAAGAAGGCGTCCACACAGCAAGCCGCTCGGTCGATCACGTTGCTCGCTCGATGCCGGCGAGCGCATGGCGCACGCCTTGGACGGTGGCGAAGCCAAAAACACCGATGGTGGCCGTCCGCTGGCGTGAGCGGCGGCGGTCGAGACCTCACCATTCGCGCCGACGACCCAACCTCACGGAACAACCCAACCCGGGCCAACAACCCAACCCAACACGAAACAACCCAACTCAAAGCACGATTCTGAAGTTGGGCCCTCAGTGTCCAGCCATGTCGTTAAGTTATTATAACAAGACGCCTCTATATCGAAACGCACGGCTACTCTCACGCTCTCTCTGCCGGGACGGGTGTCTGGCCGCACAAGCGCGGCTCCGCACGAGTCACGGTCGGGGGACGGGGCGCTTAAGCGCCGCCGTGTCCTCGTACAGGTTCGGCGTACGAATTCTTCTTCTCTTTCTCCTGCTGCATATGACCTTCGCGTTGCTCGTCTCGCGCGTGGTGGACCTCGAGCAGCAGGGTCGGGACCCGGTGCAGCTGCGGCAGGCGCTCGAGGCGCTCCTCGACCGCTACCCGCTCTGCTTTGGCTACTGGAAGCGGCGCGCGGAGCTTGAGCTGGCGGCGGCGGACGAGCCGGCGGCGGTGGCGGTGTACGAGCGTGCGGTGGTGCCGTGCGCCTACTCGGTCGAGATGTGGACGCTCTACTGCGCGCACGCGGCCCGCCACTGGGCCGACGAGCCGGAGCGCGTGCGCGGCCTCTTTGAGCGCGCGCTGCAGTACGTCGGCTC